AAAAAAAAAAAAACGTTGTGCCTTTTAAAACTGTGTATCACATCTTAACCAGTGTTGCTATAATACAATTTATGCCACATGTATTTGGAAAAAACTTTTAAAAAATATCTGCTGATCGTAGCTGTAGTATAGGAAATGTAATCACATGTGTAGTTCTGCACTAACAGTCTGTAAGTGCAGAATTTTCCCCTTTACCTCCGTTATTTAATTTTTTATAAATAATACAACTAGGTAGGAACTTTGTTCTCTTGGGCATGGGATATATTGATCACATCTTGTTCTGACGATCAGTCAAGTGCTTTAAATTTACTATTCCTAATCAACGTATTCCTTAAATCATGTTTTCTAGTTTCTTTTTAGATGGAAGATGTACCAGTTAAATTGTGCTCACATAAGTTTTATGAATTGAATGGGTTATTTTTGAACTATTACTTCTAATACTAAGGTGTGTTTGGATTATATAAGGGGTATTTAGCCACCAGGGCTAAAAGCTAAATCCCAATAATCTCCTTCGGTCTACTTCCATTATTTGCATAGTTTAGATATTCCAGTGATAACTATCAACTTCTAGAAAAAAACTTGATTAAGCCTAATTTGGACCTGGGGAAAATCATAGAAACAAAGTTAACTTTGGAAATGACAAAAGGATCCAATTAGAAAGAAAATGTTAGTTTCTTTAGGAAACTGGTTATGGGAATATTCTCGTAGTTTAGGACTAAAGGATATTGCCAAGGTTGAAGATCTACTCTGCTACTAAGCAGTTTTTATGTATCTGTATACAAACAAAACTTACTGTTTCTGATTATGGGCATTGTTTATGCCTGCTTCATTGTGCTGTTTAGCAAAATGTTCTTCATTATTTTCAATTTTTCTCTTTAAAAATTTACTGCGCTCAGCTCTTAGGAGACATACGGACTAAGGTATAGACATTGCTGTTTTCTGACATCTTATGATACCATAACTTTTTTCCTTTGCTTCATCAGTTTAACAGATGATAGTCTTCTATAAAATAAATATTCAAGTGGAAGTAATAAGATCCTTTAATACACCCACTTTTCTGTATATATGCTTATTAATAGGGAGATACTGGTTGGATAGAATGTCCTGTGGGGGTTCTTGTCCTTTAAGCTTGACTGCTCCATACAGATGGGGTGATACCATTGACACTTATGTCTGTAACAAGACTGATCCTGGAGCCCAGCACAGGACATAGCACATTATCACATTCTAAATTAACTTGGTGTCTCTAAATCAGTAAGAGGCATTTAGTGATGGAAATGTCTTTATAAAACTGTTTTGAATTAAATTCAAGTTTGTTTTTTTAAGATTTTAGACTTTGGAGAATTTACAGCCATCTGGAACTGTTGTAAATTCTTGTGCTTATTAACATGTTTCATAGAAATGTCTTCACTGTTCATTAGCCTAAATTCAAATACCAGATTATATAAAGATGTATCTCCAATTCTTCCAAGGAAATCTCAAATAAACTATTTGCTCATTTCATTTTTAGTATGCAAGGTATAATTAGCAGTTACATATATTAAACGGTAAGCTTCAGATGTAAAGAAATCGAATCTAAGTGGACTTTCTTGCATTTATTGAAATAGACAGTATAGACACGTTGGGGAAAACATGGAGGGCCCTCAAGGAGCTTGCCTTCTAAAAATAATAGTAAGCAAAATAGGTTCTCATCATTCTCATGATGTCTGTATTTTACTTCTCTAGGAGACTTGAGGGTTGGGTACAAGGGAAGAAAGAGTGACAAGAGAAGCAGTAGCCGAAGTAAAAGGGAGACTAGAGAAAAGAGAAGATAACACAGGAAAAAGTAGAAGTTCATATAGGAAAACGTGTTTTTCTGACCCATTCTCATCCTTTAAAAAAGTAATATTCAAAAAAAATAAAGTAATGTTCTCTTCTTACCAACTCAAATTCCCAGTAATTTCTGTTCATCTATAATATATACTAGTCGTTCTTTGGTTTCCATGAAAAGGAAAAACCCACAAGTTGAGCACTTCTCACTTTACATACATGAACTTTCGTGTAGTCTTATTCTGTTTCCACTATATCCCATCATTAAAAACTATTTCATTGTCTACTAACTTCTAAAACCTGTTTTCTGAAGCAAAACTAAATATTGAAAATAAAATCAGTTATTGATTGATACAACATTGATAATAATTTTATTATTACAGTGCTTAGACGCATGCTTGGTACTGATTTAAAAAAAAAAAAAAAAACAGTCCTTTTGTGGTCAGTAGAAATTGTGAAATACCAGTACATTCTTTTGGCTACTGCTAATGAGAGTCTTTATGTGTAACAGAAAAAGCCTGCTCGAAGAAGATACGAATCCTACGGAATGCATTCAGATGATGACGCCAACAGCGATGCATCGAGTGCTTGTTCAGAACGCTCCTATAGCTCTCGAAATGGCAGTATTCCTACCTACATGAGGCAGACGGAAGATGTGGCCGAGGTCCTCAATAGATGTGCCAGTTCCAACTGGTCAGAAAGGAAAGAAGGCCTCCTGGGGCTACAAAACTTGCTAAAAAATCAGAGAACGCTAAGGTGAGTTTATTATCTTAAAATAATTGTCCTGTCAGGTTCGCACTTTCAACTTCGTTCCCAGGACACTTTCAAGATATTCGTATGGGAACAGACTTGTTTTAAATTCAGAAGGTGATTATCAAAATATTTTCCCAGTCTCCAAGGCCATCTGTATTATCTAAACTAGAAATTTTTATTTAAAAGGAAACTTTGTATTCACAAATAGAAGTTAATGAAAAAAGTTATTTTTAAAATTAAAAATAATGAAGTGTACATAAAATTAAAACTGACTGGTTTATTTAAAAAAAAAAAAAAAAAGTTGACCAGTGTATTAAAATGCAACAGAACTTAATAAGCCATACTGAGAAAGACAGATACCATATGTTTTCACTCTTATGTGGATCCTGAGAAACTTAACAGAAACCCATGGGGGAAGGGAAGGAAAAAAAACAAAAAGAGGTTAGAGTGGGAGAGAGCCAAAGCATAAGAGACTCTTAAAAACTGAGAACAAACTGAGGGTTGAGGGGGGGTGGGAGGGAGGGGAGGGTGGGTGATGGGTATTGAGGAGGGCACCTTTTGGGATGAGCACTGGGTGTTGTATGGAAACCAATTTGACAATAAACTTCATAAAAAAATAAATAAATAAATAAAATAATAAAATTTAAAAAATGCAACAGAACTTTATATTGGTTTTTAGTTTGGTTTGACTTGATTTGGTTTCCTTTCCTAATGGCTTTTACTTCCTTTTTTTCCCCCTAAATTCTTTATTGTCTTTATCTTTGTAATGTTTTAAACTTCTCTGGCCAACCCCTTTAAGAACCTAGCTTCAGGGGCATCTGGGTGGCTCATTCGGTTAAGCGTCCAACTTCGGCTCAAGTCATGATCTCACCGTTTGTGAGTTTGAGCCCCATGTCAGGCTCTGCACTGACAGCTCAGAGCCCGGAGTCTGTTTCAGATTCTGTGTCTCCCTCTCTTTCTTTGCCCCTCCCCCCATCCCCCGCTTACTCTCTCTCCCAAAAATAAAAAGTAAACATTTAAAAAAAAAAAAAAAAAACTAGTTTCAGGTAATTCATAAGTTTGAGGGTACTGGAAAATTAGAGAGCTACTTCCTGACTTGATACCTGAAATCAGGGTTAGATTTACTAGTTGTATGTTTACTTTAGGAAGTATTAGAACTATTTGATCTAAAATAGATGTTTATGTACTACCTAATATATTCTAATGTGTGTATATCACACTTCATGAATCATTGCAATAAATCATCATAATATTGTTCCTGGCCCCATCAAGGTTAGGTTAATATTAGGTTCAGTATATCATTTTCAGTGGCGAGGGAGTAGGCATAGTTTAGAAAGATTTTAGTCGTCAGGTGGCCAAATTTAAGAAAACATCTTCGCATTTAAAGGGAAAATTCAGGGGCGCCTGGAGGGCTTAGCTAGTTAAGCGTCTGACTTCGGCTCAGGTCATGATCTCACAGTTTATGGGTTCAAGTCCCACGTTGGGCTCTGTGCTGACAGCTCAGAGCCTGGAGCCTGCTTCCGATTCTGTGTCTCCCTCTCTCTCTCTGCCCCTCCCATGCTCACGCTCTGTGTCTCTCTGTCTCTCAGTAATAAATAAATGTTAAAAAAAAATTTTTTTAAATAAAAAAAAAAATTAAAGGAAAAATTCAGGGGCTCCTGGGTGGCTTATTTGGTCAAGCATCTGGCGCTTGATTGCAGCTCTGGTCATGATCTCACCATTCATGAGATCAAGCCCCATATCACACATGTGCCCTCTCTCCTGCTCACATGCATGCTCTCTCAAAATAAATAAAAAGTTTTTAAAAAATAAAAATAAAGGATAAAATTTGTGTGCTAGGAATGTCATTTGTACAGTTTCCCCTGTCATGCTACATTAAAGAAATACAACTATTTCTTTTAATATAAGTTTCAACTTTTAAGAAAATGTGGGTTTCAACAGGATTATTGTTGCATTTGATAAATTTGTGTTTATTCCTGATTAGTAAGTCCCACAAACTTTATGATTTTGAGGACTGGTTTTTTTTTTTTAGCCTTTCTTTTTGTAAGAAGCTAATTACAGCTAAGGTTACTCCAAGTTTTGTTTTTTGGTTTTTGGGTTTCATTGTTTTTTTTTTTTTTTTTTTTTTTTTTTTTTTTTTTTTTTTTTTTTTAATTTTTTTTTTTCAACGTTTATTTATTTTTGGGACAGAGAGAGACAGAGCATGAACGGGGGAGGGGCAGAGAGAGAGGGAGACACAGAATCGGAAACAGGCTCCAGGCTCCGAGCCATCAGCCCAGAGCCCGACGCGGGGCTCGAACTCACGGACCGCGAGATCGTGACCTGGCTGAAGTCGGACGCTTAACCGACTGCGCCACCCAGGCGCCCCTCATTGTTTTTTTATTAGAGAGGGAGAGAGAGAGAGAGAGAGAAGAAGCAGGGGTGGGGCAGAGGAAGGGGGAAACAGAAGATCTGAAGCGGGCTCTGTGCTGACAGCAGAGAGCCTGGTGGCTCAAACTGGAAACCATGAGGTCATGACCTGAGCTGAAGTCAGATGCTTAACCGACTGAGCCACCCAGGTACCCCTAAAGTTACTTTTAAATGAATTCTTCCTATAGCAAGATATTAATTAGCTATTTTATTATTTTGACAGTCGAGTTGAACTGAAAAGATTATGTGAAATTTTCACAAGAATGTTTGCTGATCCTCACGGCAAGGTATGTTTTAGTATTTAAGATTATTTACTCCTATGGGATGTCATTTGTGTGCTGCAAAAAAAAAGTAAAGTGATAGCAAAGCACTGTAGGCCATTTTCGTTTTATTATTGCTCCAAAATGGTAATAATCTTTTCAAACACAATTGAAATTGTTTGATGTCATACATAATTTAGAAATTGTTCACTGGCAACCTTTTAAGCTTCTCCAAAGAGGAACTGTCTTAAGACTATATAAATTGAGGGATATAGTAACAAGCACAACTCACAGAATTGGTCAAACTGAATGTATTTGTATTACTAGAAACTTTTTACTGTTTATAAAAAAAAGAAATTGGGGTAAGTCAAAAAGAGACGTTTCTGTGAGCTTCTTATTGTTTTCTTCTTTTGCAATGTTAACGTGAATATATTCTTAAAAGAGCAATTGTGTAGAAAAGAATTGCCATTAAATAACACAAAAGCACAAAATACAGTGTTGGCCACGGTTTGGTGGTAACAGTCAAAAAAGCATTTTATTTATTGAAGTCCATAAAAATTTTCAGAACATTGTTTAATTTTTAATGTTGATTAAAACATACTTAACTTTAGGGGTGCCTGTCTGGCTCAGTCAGAGGAACATGTGACTCCTGATCTCGGGGTCATGAGTTCAAGCCCCATATTGGGTGTGGAGATTGCTAAAAAAAAAGTTTTTAAACATACTTAATTTTAAATACTGAGGCATAATCTGCATGTGTACTGTGAAATTTTGGTTTACGTTGCAGGATAGTACTGTTATAAAACGTATTTATTCTGTTTTCAGTAATGTGTCTGACAGTGGTGAACCTTTAAGTATCTTTTTTTAGGTTACCAGTTGTCTACATGAGAATTTCTAACCTAAGTGAGAGGGAGATGTGGAAGGGAAATTATAAGAAAAATATTAATGAATTTTGCTTTTTTTTTTTTTTTTTTTTTTTTTTTTTTACTGTCTTCACATTATTGTTGCGCATATCATTCTCATTTTTTTTCTATTTTCAAGATTTTCATTACTTGGAACGCTAAAGATAACAAAATCCCATTTTGTACATAATAAAATCCAGCTGAAGGTGATAAATTGCTTCTATTTTAAAACAATTTTCAAAGATTATCCTCTGTCGGAAGATATATTTATCTTATCCAAGAACACAAGATTCCATTAAAAACAAAGATTAAAAAAGCAGTTGGCAAGCAGTTTGTTTTAACGTTTACAACTTTCAGGGGCACCAGGCTGGCTCAACTCACAGAGCAGGTGACTCTTGGAATCAGGGCCTCATATGAGTTCAAGCCTCACATTGGTTGTAGAGATTAGAAATAAGTAAGTATGTACGTACATACGTACATACGGTTTATAATTTTCAAGCTGGGCATGTAGATAACTGTACCACTGTATACTTATATTCCTATCACTAATTACAGCTGTAGGACTCCCTGTAATGCAAAAGTTCTATAAATCCTGAACAAATTGGTTGTTGAAATATTTTCTTGGCAATATAAACCAAAGGACAAGACAATTGTGATCTGGATGGACCTGTTTTATAAATAATATTTTAGTAATTATCTATACAGCCTTTAAAAACAGAATTTTAAACCATCTTCATTAAGTGGTAAAATTCTTGTCTACTGGAAGGTATAGGACCAGGGCTGGATTATTGCTCGAAGTCACAATTTTTTATTTTTCGTTAGGGCAATAATACAATTTAGTTGGTTGCTAGGATTTATACAGTAATAAAGAGAACTGGTTTTTAAAAGAGGCTGTTAGAGATCAATAGGGAAATTGAGTTTGATGTTGGTAAAGGACCTGAACCGAGCACATACGTTTGGCTTTCCTTAGTAGACTCAGAGAACCAGCTACAGTCCTCCCTAGAGTTGTGAGAAAGATGACTTTTTGGGTTTTCTTCATCAGGTTTTATAACAGTATATAATTCTTACCCATCCGGTGTGTTTGATTAGGTTTTTTTTAGTTCAGCGAAGACTAATGGGAGGATTTTTATTCATTTGTTTCTGTTTGACTTTTGTTTGGTGATTGTCAGAGGCCCTGCCAGTAATGGAATTCATTGAGAATAGACTGGATGGGGCTCCTGGGTGGCTCAGTTGGTTGAGCATCCAACTCTTGATTTTAGTCAGGTCATGATCTGTGGTCTTGGGATCAAGCCCCACATCAGGCTGCACACTGCCCTGGGCATGGAGTCCTCTTGGCACTCTCTCTCCTTTCTCTCTGCTCCTCCTGCTCACATTGCCTCTCAATTAAAAAAAAAAAAAAAAAGAATAAACTGGATATGTCACCATACTGTGCTGAGTTTAAAATGTCAGGGTTTGGGGCGCCTGGGTGGCGCAGTCGGTTAAGCGTCCGACTTCAGCCAGGTCACGATCTCGCGGTCCGTGAGTTCGAGCCCCGCGTCGGGCTCTGGGCTGATGGCTCAGAGCCTGGAGCCTGTTTCCGATTCTGTGTCTCCCTCTCTCTCTGCCCCTCCCCCGTTCATGCTCTGTCTCTCTCTGTCCCAAAAATAAATAAATGTTGAAAAAAAAAAAATTTTAAATGTCAGGGTTTGATTTGAGCTTTTGCATTATATCCTGATACTATTAAAATAGCAGATTTCTCCCTCCCCATTGTACAAAGTACCATCAGCCCCGTCTTCAGGATCAGGCAATGGTTGTGGCTTTTCTTTCCAAAGACAGCTTTTTTTTGGTTTTGTTTTCTTTTTGTTTTTTTTAGAGAGAAAGCATGAGCTGGGAAGAGGGACGGAGGGAGGGGAGCAGGGGAGAGAGTGAGAGAGAGCAAGAGCGAGAGCAAGAAAGTCTTAAGCAGGCTTCATGTTCAGCTTGGAGCCTAATGCGGGGCTCAGTCTCACAACCGTGTGAGCATGACCTTAGCTCAAATCAAGAGTCAGCCGCTCAACTGACTGAGCCACCCACTCAAGTGCCCCGTTCCAAATACAGTTTTGTTCTTTATCAGTTGACCATTTTTTGCTCTGTAAAGGGCAAGATGGTAAATATCTGCATCCGCATTGATCTCTGTCACCACTGCTCAACTCAGACATTATATAGCACAAAGGAATCTTTCGACAGTATGTAAGCAAATGAATGTGGCTGGGTTGCAACAAAACTTTATGAACCTTGAAATTTTAATTTTCATGTGTCACAAAACTGCCTTTTTATGTAATACTAAAGGCCTACTTTTTTTTAAGTTATTTATTTTAAGAGAAGAGAGAGAGAGTGCACAAGTGAGCAGGGAGGGGCAGAGAGAGGGAAAGAGAATCCCAAGCAGGCTCCACCCTGTCGGCACAGAGCTCAATGCAAGGCTCAGTCCTGTGAACCGTGAGATCATGACCTGAGCCAAAACCAAGAGTCAGACGCTTAACCGGCTGAGTCACCCAGGCACCCCACGAAATTGCCTTAAAAAAAAAGTTTTTTTAACCATTTAAAATTGTAAAAACCATTGTGCAAACCATAGTTTGCTGATCCCTTTTTTTTATGCTTAATTCTTAAGTTATTGACACTGTAATAGAAACATAGGTTCAAGAACCTATCTGCTCGTGGAGCTCGTGACACCTGGTTGGAGGTTAGGATTCTTGAAGGGAAACACTGTACTGGCCCCTGAGTGAAATCAGCTATGTGTATTCCTGCCATTCTCACTACTGATCTGTGGTTTTTGTCTAGTGCTCAGTGCTGTGTTGGAATCCTCCTCTTTGTCTTCTGTTCTCCATGGAGACCGTGTCAAACACTTTCTGTCCTCAGAACTGCAGCCCATTCACCTCCCAACCTATCTTATGCCCTAAGCACGTGTCCTGGCTTCCTAGCTTACCCAGAAAACGGAAGCCATCAAGCAGAGACTCCATTTCCTGCCTCCAGACCAGCCACTGTAACTACACAGAAACTCATGCTTTCTACCTCTCCTCCGGTTGAAATAGAAGGAGATGTCACCTTAAAGCTGTCGTTAGCCACAGTAATAATTACTCTATTTTTCGCTGAGATGGTCTTACCCTCTCGGCTTCCGGGGACTTCTCATAAATTCCAGTTTGCTGCTTGACGTTCCTTTTTGCCTTTTAACTTTGCTGTCAGTTATTCAGTGTATCTTTTCTGTCGTTCTGAGGAGCGTGATGCGTCTGTTGTGATGTGCCTGTTGTGTCCTAGCCGGTCTCTCTCGTACCCCTCGTCTTACAACACCTCTCTCTCTGCTCGTTCTGCTGAGCATAGGTGTTGCTTAGATTCTTGCCCTAGGCTCGTGTCTTTAATTCTGTACCTTCTCTGAAGCTTACGTTACCACTGGCGGGAACCTGGTGACTCACAGATGTGCACTTCCAGCCCATATTTTCTCTTGCACGTAGTCTCCTGCCTCATGGCCATCTTCAGCCTCAGAACTCCTGCGTTGCTTTATCTCATCTCGTGAAATCGCCATTCCCTCATTGCTCCAGGGAAGGATTTGGGCATCTCTCTGGCAACTCCACTTACTCCTCATTCAGTCTTCTGAACATCTCTCTGTTCTCACTGCTAACTCGGGGCAGAGTGGTCTGTTGCCTGTTGCACCTGCTCCACACCGCATCCTTTGCACAGGAGACAGATCTTTTCTACCAGCTTGAAACCCTGCAGTGACTGCTCGTTGTCCCCAAGAAAACGCCCAAACAAAGCCTATCGTTTTGCCGGTCGTCCCTTCCTCACTCTCACCCCAGCCTGGACTACGTCCATGTCCCCAAAGGAGCCATGCACTTTTTTTCATAGCCTTGAAAAATGCCATCGGGGACATTTCTCTGTGTTCCTGAAGCCTGGGTTAGCTCTCCACTCTGAACTGGAATCTCTTATCCATAACCTCAACTGTCCTGAAAGCTCACAGGGCAGAAACTCTCTGAAGACTTGCTCCCAGAATGGGCCACAGTGTTCGGGAGACATCTCATTCCATGAGCTTGGTTAGGTGCATTTTCCCATGTCTTTTTAGGTTGAGATCAATACTTCAGTCCTGTGTTCACACCTTCTGGGTATCACCCCGCTGCCATGATAAACGAAAGGTGTTCTCACGCCCAACACTATCGAGACTACCTGCTGTCCTCAGCAGAAACAAGATACTTAGAGAAACAGTTTGTGGGCAGCCCGGTCCACTTCATATAGGATCTCCTGCTCCAGCCCCCAGAATGCTCCCCTCTTACATATTTCACGGTAAACACCCGAGTCCAACTAAAGTATCAGGTGAGCTCTGGTAAATGAGGCAGACACCCCAGAAAAGAAGGGCCAGAAAAGAGCACTCTCTGAATCCCGTGGAGGTAGATGCTGGGCAGGATTGGCAAAGAGAGTTTGCAGGCTGAAGTTAGTTGATATGCCTGTAACTTGCTACATATTTTTTTTTTTTTTTTTTTTTTTTTTTTTTTTACTTCAGATACCTAGAGTTGGGAATAAGTGATGATGTATGTATGACAGTAATTTAGAACAGAAGCTACAAATGTCTGATTTAAAGCCTGTTGATATTTTTCCAGAGAGAGAGAGCGCAACACGGTGATAAGTGTGGATGGCACAGCTGGATCCTTAGGTGCAGATGCTGCCTCAGCACTTACTGGCAGTCTGTGCCTTAGTTTCCTAACCTGTAAAATCAAGTTTTAATAGTAACGAATAGCTAATAATCAGTAGTACCTCGTAAGATTGTGAGGATATTTAAATGAGTTAATATATGTAAAGCCTTTAGAAAGCCAAGCACTCATGTAAGTTTTTCAAGACTAAATAAGTTTGAAAATTAAGGAGATCAGGGAAGATTTTTATTTTGACTGCTCTAGACTCATTTTTTCCCCTCAAACGTAAGGAGCGTCAGATGCTAGAAGTTATCTTACGTGTTCTGACATTTGTCTCTGAAGAAACTCTTGGAAAAGAGCCACCTTCACCAAGGTGCATGCCGTGAATTGGCATTTTACGGTCCGTCTAGTCCTACCTCTTGAGGTCCTATCTTTGAGTCTTGAATAGCTAGGGTAGGAGTTTAATCTGCGGCTACTAAAGTGGACACACTTGAGTGCCCAGGTCACATCTGGTCTCTTAAAGAGTGTGCTAGGCAGCAGAGGTGTCCTAGGATCAGGACACCATAACAGACATCTTACCTCGGCAAGATTTAAAGTTGTGGCATAAACGGTTCCTTTTTATTTCCAGACAGCTGTGGTTGTTTTAAACCTTCACAGAAGTCACTTATGAACGTACTGCTTCTGAAGAGGAAAAGAGAAACTCTAGATGCTGTGCTTTGGACGTAAATGCTGGCACTCTTCAGAAACGGGGGGCAGGTGGCTGTTAGTCTTAGATTCTTTCTAGAAGTTGAGCCTCAAGGATATTAGGGTCTGGAAAAGAAGTTGGTTTTCTGGTTTTTGGTTTTAAATTTCTTTTGCAAGGAGGTGAGGGAGAAACACAGGAAAAATCACATACTCTTCTCTCATACTATTCATTTAACTCTTGTTTTAAAAACAACTTTGAGTTTATCACAAAACTTTGAAAAACATTTGTCACTTTTATTTTCTAAGTGTTTTTCTTCCATACAGGAACTTTGCATTGATGGCGACTAATTTGTGTGTTTTTCTTTTTTTTCTTTTTTTCTTTTTGCATGCTGTCCCCTGTGTTGGAACTCTCAATAGAGAGTAAGTTGGTTCAATATTTGTTGGAAACCTAACTTTACTGCATGACTGTGAAATTAACCCTTTTTCTCTATTTTCTCTCCCGAAGAGTTCATGCAGTGTTGGACCCTTTGCAATCCACGAAATGCTATTTGCAGTTATGCAAACTGTCATTCTGTTTGGAGATGTGCTTCTTAATCTACTAATTAATCTAATTTGATGATGTTCTTCTGTTCTGTATTTGATGACTGGCACACCTAAGACATAAGTGAGATTAAGAAAAGACCACCTCAACTGTAATAGCTCCAGTGGTCTAGTCGTTTTCTAGTAAATTACAGGTGTGAGATACGTGGAATTATAAATCGATTCCACTGAAGGTTGGTTCCATTGAATTATTTAAAAAAGTAATTCCCAAATTTTGCAATTACTAAAAAAATAATTAGTCCCAATCTCCCCATATATACTTTCTAATATTCTATAAATGTCATTCCATAAAAGCAAACAAAACAGTTTATGGAGCAGTGGGTCTCAAATTTCTTTTCTGAAATCAGATTTTTAACCCTAATATTAGCATATCTACTTTCCATTTTCTTCTTTAATTTTAGATAAGGTCATGGGAGGATATCAACATCTGGCAGTGAACTCTTTGTGATAAGGCAGCCACATAAGAAATTGTATGTGACATTCCCAATATATATTTTAGATAGATCGATCGATAGATCGATAGATAGATACAGGCGTGTATGTTGTCACTTAGTAAGTACCACTGATAGGATGTATTTTGAAAAACAATAGTAGAATTCTCTGTGTGGAGTACTGTAGATAACATGTCTACTTTTTTGGGCATCTGTACTCTATCAAAAGAAATTTCTACCCAGGAGACTCAGAGAAGTCTTCTTGAAGAAAATAGCAGTTCAGATCTTGTCAGGAACATAAACTTCGGATATGGCAGCGTGAGATGGTTGGGCCTCCTGGGAAGGACTGCCCTGAGTCCCGAGAAGTGGGAGATGTCAGAAAGTGTGTAGAAGAGAGAAGGAGGTTAACCTTGGCCGGGATGAAGGGAAGATCCTGTGCATCTTCCCTTGCCAATGAGAACAAAGGGCTGGCTACCAATTACAGGGTAAATTTCCGCTTAATAGAAGATCCTTACCCTTTAAGGAACTTTTCCTACACGTTAATTGAACAACTTTTTACTCAGTCCTCAGCCTCTGGTAAACTGTGAGCTTGTTTCTAATTGGTAATGCACAACTATACAAAAACAGAGGCTTCATTCTCAAGTGTTCTGTGTTTCAAATGGGAAGATAATATAAATACAGAAAAAGCTAAATAGCACCATAGAGCTAGTCCCACAACAGCTTCCGAGAAGGAAAGATCAGTGGCTATATCCTAAAGTGGTCTGAGAAGCTCTTTGGCTGGGACATGAGTGGCAAACTTTGTAGTGAGTCACATGCTGTGTATAAATAGAGGAAGTATGGTAGGAAGTCAGGAGTGTGGTGAGATGTGCTCAGGAACAGTAGACCGTATGTTGCCAGATAGTCTGAGATCAGTTTGGAGAGTTAGAACCTGGTCTGAGCATTTGAGATGTCATTCTGCACACTGTTGTATAGACAGTGGAGGATTTTTTTTCTCTCAGGATGGCACCCGTCTGGAGGTGAGAAAGCAGACACGCGTTGGCCTGCTGCCTGTTCTGTAGATAAAGTTCTGTGGAGCACAGCTGTGCACACTCATGTGCATACTGTCTGCAGCTGTGCTACAGTGGCAGCGTCGAGTAGTTGTGACAGACACCATATGGCCTGCAAAGCCTAGAACGCGTACTTACCTGGCTTGTTCTAGAAATCCAGACCTGAGGTAGAAAGGCGTGGTGCCTAAAGTGATAGTGTGACGGACAGATTTGGAGAAGGCCTCAAGAGAACTGTTCTCGAGGTCATGGGGCCTAGTAGGCTAGATCAGAGAGGGTCTGTTAAAGTCACACCTTGGATGAAAAGAGAATCAGGAAGAAGACTAGCTCTTCATCGCCACACATTTAGGATGGAGAAGCACAATGCCTGGCAACTAGAATGAAAGAAAGACGGGAAATAATAAGAGGAAAGCAGTGGAAGCTCCAGAATGGCCAAGCATACTAAGCTAGTGAAAAAGCTGCTACATTTCACGGTGAGAAGATGATGGGTGGGAGGGAAACTGAAGGGGAAATTCGTGAGACATTGTCTTCTGCAGCTGTAAGCAAGGGATTTAGATTGAGAATAAAAGAGTAAAGATAGTAGAGGGGAGAGAACAAGAATCCAGAATATAAAGATTAGTCTTAAAGAGGAATAAAATTGGTTCTCCCTTGTAGAAACGATTATTAGAAGGATGGCTGTAGAGGAAATCAAAGGGGGTGGGGGGATGTCCGTGGAGAATTTTATGTTGAATGACAGTAAAGTGAATGAGGTAAGTTATCTCATAATAGAGTGGATGGAACACAGTGGGAAACCTAGCGACTTAGCTCTGAGTCCCGATCCAACCGTTCACTATGGAAGCCTTGGGCAAGTCATGTAATTTTCTGGTTCTCAGTTTCCTGAGAACCAGATAAAATGAGAGTTGACTCAGGCATTCTAATGTTAGCTTTGCTGTAGTGAAAGCTTAAAGTTGGAATCTTCAGGAAAAGAGGCAGGAGTTGAAACAAGATTAAAAGTGAATCAGAGAATTAGAGTGCTGTGCCTGGCAAAGCAGGTTTAAGGGGATGGACCGGAAGCCCCAATGTGTAGTGTCTGCTGTAACTTCTGAGGTGTGGATACTCCCACCATGGCCGATTTCAAGGTACCAGCCAGCTTACAAAATTCCTGTACACTTAGCAATCAGCTTTCTAGGCGAGTACCCACTGACTCCAGCACAGCACTGGACTGATTTGCCAGGTACCAGTAAGAGTGAGTACTAAGTTAGATACATGCATTTGCTCTAGAGTGGGTTTAGTGGGGTTCCTCAACTTTATGCCAGACTCTGAGGAGACAGCCAGCAGCTACTCGAGTCAGTGGGCCAAGTTTTATATCTAAGAGAAGCCAGATTTTGGGGGAAGTGGGGTGGAAGTTCATGATTTTGCACTGTAAGCAAGAGCAGTGTTGAAGAGATACGGCCTGGGGATCGGACGGTATTAGAAAATTTTAAGTAGTCATAGTTCCTGCTTTTATAATTAGAGTACATTTGAGCACAGAGCTAAGGTGTATTTTTTTCTAACTTGGGGTCAAATATGAAACCTTAGTTCTAATTCTGGTCAGGAAAATCCTTCATTTTCTAACATAAGAGAAAAAATGGGAGTTCGTGTATAACTGAATAACGGAAAGTCAATAATAAGATATATGTTGAGCAAAACTCCTTAATTCTCAAATTAGCAAAGTTTTGAGATTATTAACTTTTTTAAACTATAGTTTTTATGGTCTGTTGTGATTATAAGTTGTCTCATAATATAATGCCTGACGTTGTCCTAAGAGTTTTTTTCTTTACCTGGAAATAAATTCTCCACTATGGTGCTGAATTTCTTGTAGAGATATACCTTAGTGTCGGTCATTTTTCCTAAGTATTTTAATGAGATGCATTACTTAAGAATATTAGCATTCCTTTCCTTAAATTGTTTTTATCTTACAAAGTTTTTTAAACTAGTACATAAATACTGGAACCAAGTACAAAAGCCATCAAAAGAAATGGAGACTAATAGCCATCTAGGATTTTTTTAGAAATCACTAAAATGAAGATGGAGAGTTGTGTCCTGAATTTATTTTATTTTAGGTACAGTTATACTTATTCCAGATCAGTTAAAATTATGTTTGGGGAGGTTTTAACAAATAATAGATCTCATACCAAAAAAATGAGTGACAGCTGACCTATTGAGAAATGTAGGAGTCTCCAATTAGCCCAATATGTCAGGATGTTCTTATATTTTAAGGTAGCTGTCAGCATAGTCCCCCTCTGATTAACTCAGTGCCACTCCTGCAAAGAGCTGAGGCCTGGTGAGGCTATCAGTAGGTAGTTCCTTGCCCGAAATTTCAGATTACCGCGGATTTCGGTTGAACCAGATTAAGCTATGGCATCATTGACATCATTAGGTGTGCCAGCCATTGTGGCCAAAGTTTCTTTACCAAGTGACGCTGCATGGAATAGCTAATTGTTGAACTTCGGCAGAAGTTGGATAACATTTCAAACATACTCTTGTATCACAGAGTCCAATGAAAAGCAAGAGAGATTGTTTTTCCGCTTGGCTGCCAATCGCTGTGCCTCTGATTCCTGTATTCCCTTTCTATTTCGGTTTTGAATGAAGCATAGAGGTCAATATTTCCTCCTTTTTCTCTCCCCTTCCCCATTTACCCACCGTAGGTATTCAGCATGTTCTTGGAGACTCTAGTGGATTTCATACAAGTCCACAAAGATGATCTTCAAGATTGGTTGTTTGTACTGCTGACTCAACTCTTAAAAAAAATGGGTGCTGATTTGCTGGGGTCTGTTCAGGCAAAAGTTCAGAAAGCCCTTGATGTTACAAGGTAATAGTTTCTTCATCTATTTCCAGTTTATCCAGTAGTAATCAGGAGTGTTTAGTTTCTCTGTTTCGATTTCTGAGTCCTTTCAATCCATTTATGCTGCATGGGCTTCATTTGAAAATTATTAATCATGCTCGTTCACATGATATATTTAATGCAACAATGGTCCTTAAATCAAACACTGCCTTTCTTATCTAAAACTGTCATGAACATTAGTTGAGTAACTCAAGGTCGTATTTTATCTTACTTAAGATATTCAAAATAGAGTTCAAGATCTTATTCAATCTAATGTAAAAAAAAAAAAATATTTCCTAAATTTAAAAAGAATGTTTTGTTATGCACTTAAACATTCAGAATCTTTCTTCAGATGATGTTGAACCAGTGATCTATTTCTACTTTCTTGTGTAGATAGATTGTTGAGGTGAGTCTAAGAATTCAGATACTAGGTCTAGGGAGCCATTTCTGATCATGTCAACTTGCAGAATGTTCTGTTTACATGCACAGTTGAAGCAAGATAGACCGTTATCACTGTAGTGTTGGTTTTTAAGCACCAGTAGGGCATAGATTCAGATGCTCAGATTGTTCTGGGAACAGCTTGTGTGCTGCCCGACATAGACTGTGTACCACTCACAGACACTGCTTTGTTGTGCTCTTTGAGTGATGTGATGTTTTTGGTAGTAAGCATAGCTTTCTGTTTAGTTTGCTAAACGTCTACTTGATTAATTTTTGTTCTGCTTTGTTCTTTCCTTATTTCAGAGAATCTTTTCCAAATGATCTTCAATTCAATATTCTAATGAGATTTACAGTTGATCAGACCCAAACACCAAGCTTGAAGGTAAAAATTTGCAGTCTTTCGAAGACATTGTAAGGAATTAAAGCGTTTTGTTAATAATGTTGACGTTTATATTTCTGTCTAATAAGAAGCTGTTCCATCAGTGGATTTTGTTTTATAAACTTTCAGACACTCAAGCCAGCGCTTCGGGACCAGCTTCACTCTTTTTGGAGCTCCAAGGTTTTTTTGTTTTTGTTTTAATCTGCATTATTTCTTTTCTTGACTCTCTTTAAAAACGCTGCCGTGTTGCAGAGAATGTTTGTGTGCATCTGTTTTCAACTACTAACCTCTGTAAGCCTCACTTTAAGCATGCACAGATTTTGTTTCAAATGTGGCTCAAATGCCAGACTGTCTCTGGGAGAAGCTTCCTGGGGATCTCCATTTGGAAGGCAGCACAAGTATGGCCGTCTAACTCTGAGCTGGTAACGCAGACTCATGCTATAAAGTCCTCTCTCATCTTATGTTTGTGATTTCCCAGTTGTTTTTTTAAGTGTAGAAGTTTGAATAGGTATTTTGGGCAAACTGTCAGTTTTGCCTGTGTATTTATTCTAGTAAACAAAAAATTTTAAGTTTAATCTCCCTGCTGTTCTCCAGTTCTCTTTAACTGAAACGGTAACTTTTTTCTTCTTTGTGCAATGTGATATTTCTAATGTGTGCATAAAATTTAGAGTCGGGGTTAACTTTCTCAATTGCTATTAGCACACATTTTCTAGTTAACTTATGTGAAAACGAGGTGGATTCCAATTTGTGACTTAAACATAAAAGAACAAATAATAAAGAAGCCCCTAAATTCTTTAGCAGGGATGTTTTCTTAGTTTTATTAAATGAGATTAAAGTCAGGGAAATAACAAGCATATGTGCATTTAAAAGCCTTACGTTTTTCTGCTCTCTTCTGCACGAAATGTATTTCTACAAGCATTGTTGCCAATGATCAATTTTCCTTTAAGTTTCTGAATATGATTTTGCCTTAAAATTCACAATTATGTTTGTTACCAGGGTTGACTTAGACTCGACATAATGTTAATTTCTCAGAGCTGCTTTGTGAAAGGGATTCTATCTGTTTTGATTTTAAAACGTGACCTACAGGAGAATAATTTACTTGATATTATTGATAAATATGTTTTGAATTCATTCTCTGTTCTAGCCATTGTGCAAGGCACTCCTAGGAATATAAAACTTACAATTTCTTATCATTATTATAATGCATGATAAACTGTAGTAAGGATTATGATTTAGGTACCAGGGAGTAGGCACTCAAGTGCTGTAGAAAATATACGTAGAGATTTTTCATGGGGCCGCAGAAAGGGAGGTCTAAACCATTAGCTTAAGAAATAAGGGTCATAGGGGAGTTCGGGGAGAAGATACAGTTGCTAAATGCCTAAAGAAAACCAGTGGGAAACAAAACTAATCAAAATTTGCTTTCCTATTGGGAAACATAGTGGGTACTGGAGTTACAGACTAAATCTGTAAAAGCCATTATCTATATGGCTTTTATATCTTATGTTATATATACATGTATTATAGATTATATACACACACGTATGCAGGCAACGTTGTAGGGGAAAATCACTCTAAAACTCCTAAATTGATACTTGAAGATACAAAGAGAAGTTAAATTGGAGCCATACCTTAGGCCAAAAATAAAAGTAACTTTAAATTGGGTGACAGATTAAGATTAAAACACTGAACAGGTTATAGAAAAAACAGGTTATACACAAACAACTTGTGTATGAGATCTATAAAATTCTTTATTGATAAAAAATGATGGATCTTTCAGGTAAAAGAGAAAATTTATTTCTCACAGTCATGTGGTTAAATGTCAGAAAAGAAGCAATAGAATAGGGGGAAATAGCAATACAGAGTGATTCTGAGTAATATTAAAAAGAATAATTTTGGTGATCTTTTTCTGGGTTTCACAGATATGTTGTAAAGTTAAACACACTTTAGCAGCTAGATTATTTTTCCTTCTCTGAATGCATGTTCACGTTATTAAAATTACAGACTGTGTATATAAACTCGTGAAATATCCTACTTAAATCTAAACTTTCAAATGATTATTATGTGTGTATTGTGGTTATTTTGCCTAGTAGTATTATAAACGCACCTACTCTGTGAAACCCTTGAAAGCTTATATGCCTCCGTAAATTGCTAAGACACTGCACTAGTTGAATCTCACGTAGAACAAATAAATATATTCAGTTATTGGTGGTAGCAAGTTGAAAACGATGACATTGATGTTCATTCTTTGATTCACTGTACTTGCTGTTCAGTTATTCACACTGAGAGGTGACACGGCTTTGGGAATCCAGAATATTAAGTGCTACTGTAATTTATCAGGCCTGCTACTGCAAAATTAATCATAAGTCTCTTTCCCTCTCCACTGGACATTTTACCTGGACAGATGATGGATTAACTCTCAAATTTTTTCTCAATACATCTAAAAGTTATAGTTACTTCTTAAAATGTATTCATTTTGAGGCGCGCCTGAGTGGCTCAGTCCGTTGAGCATCTGACTTCAGTTCCTGTCACGATCTTGAGGTTTGTGAGTTCGAGCCCTGCATCAGGCTCACTGCTGTCGGCTCAGAGCCCGCTTCAGATCCTCTATCCGCCGCCCCCCCTCCCCCGCCGCCTCTCTTTCTGCCCCTCCCCCGTTCACACTTGCACGTGCTCTCTCTCTCTCTCTCAAAAATGAATAAACATATAAAAAAAGTTTTAAAACTTTAATCATTTTGAAATGAAGAATGTAATCTGATCCCCCCCCTTTTTTTTAAACTGGAAGCCAAAGGGGGAAAATGTGCAAGAGTCAGAACCTTATATTAACACTTTGCTTCCTTTACATAAAACTTGGCACAGTACCTCCCAAAGACCTTATTTGGGTTTAGTGAGACAAGTAACATCTTAAGATCAATAACAAGGGGAGACAGAACATTGAAAACCTGATTATCTTCGTCTTTGGCAGTATTTTTTCAATGTTGCTGTTTTAATCATACACGCCTTCCTTTATCTAAGTCAGCAAGTGGGTGTTTAATATGTTGCTCTACGTAACACCTGCTCTATCTAGCTGTGCGGTTTGCCAGCTGCCACTTCTAAACCGCACTAGCAGAGTCTTTCAGAGTCCTTGTCTAGAACCGCTAGGGTGTTAGAAGATGTGACTTCTCAAAGTTTTTCTCAGCCGGTGCTTCTGCCCTCACATCCCTGAGAGAACGGCGGTAATTGAACAGCGGCTCACTCTAAGGATAACAAAGGCTGAGCCTACGGAAGAAGCACGTACGCTCTGCCCCACCTGATTTTGAAGCCTGCGTTTGACCACACCCCACCTATACCAGGCACCCAAACCTCAGGAATTACAAAGAAATGTTGTCTTTGCTCCAGCGGTCCTTGTGTAAAACTTTTTTGTGACACTTCTTTTGAAAGGTGGTTCTGGGGGCGCCTGGGTGGCGCAGTCGGTTAAGCGTCCGACTTCAGCCAGGTCACGATCTCGCGGTCCGTGAGTTCGAGCCCCGCGTCGGGCTCTGGGCTGATGGCTCAGAGCCTGGAGCCTGTTTCCGATTCTGTGTCTCCCTCTCTCTCTGCCCCTCCCCCGTTCATGCTCTGTCTCTCTCTGTCCCAAAAAAATAAAAATAGAAAAAATAAATTAAATAAATAAATAAATAAATAAATAAATAAATAAATAAAAATGAAAGGTGGTTCTGGATCTCATGGGGTGAATGTTACTGTATGTTTGGCACAAAAACCTGTATTGCCCACCTTGATTACTTACTTGGTTTATGATACCTTATTTCCAGAATACTTTGGTTCATTTCCCCAAAAGCCAAATTACACTTAATTTATAAAGACTGGCTCCCAGGGAAATGTAGACAAGAGTCAGCTGTAAGCTCTGAAGGCCGACTCAAGGAGAAGGGTATAATCTTGTCAAGAGAGTCTTCAGCAGTTCAGACACAGGGAATGAAACACCTGGGATTTAAAAGTTCTGCTATATGTGAAAACAAAAATCCACATTTCCATGTATTTGTACCTCAGGTATGTAGGTGGTTATGTAATTTCTTTTTTGTTATTGTTGATGTTTCGTTTCGTATTGGTTTGAAAAATAATCACCTGATTGCTTTTGAAGTGTAGTCAGTATCCCTCAGTGACCATCTGGTTGTCCTCTCTCATTTGCTTACCTCTGCAGGTGAAGGTTGCTATCCTTAAATACATAGAAACTCTGGCCAAGCAGATGGATCCAGGAGATTTTATAAATTCCAGTGAAACTCGCCTGGCAGTGTCTCGGGTCATCACTTGGACAACAGAACCCAAAAGTTCTGATGTTCGGAAGGTATGTTTTAACGTAAGATTTAGAAGGTAAATTAGAAAAACAAGTCAGTCATTTTGGATTGCCAACAAAGGGAATTAATATTTCTGGACATTACCGGTTAGTATTGATTTATTTACTTGGTGATACGAAGACTTGTTTTTTTATCTTCTCTTTTAAATGATTTAAAATTTTATCCAGTTAATATGAGTATAGTTTTCAAACTTAGAATAAGAAACCAACTCTCATTGCCACAGTCCTCCCAACCTCTAATCTTGTAACCATTCAAAATATAGTTGACCCTTTTTGGTATCCAAAATACATAAAGAACTACAGAACTCAACATCTAAAAACAAATAATCCAGTTTTCAAAATGAGCAGAAGACATGAACAGACATTTCTCTAAAGAAGACATACAGATGGCAAACCAACATGGGAAGATGCTCAACGTCACTCATTATCAAGGAAATGCAAATCAAAACCACAATGAGTTGTCACTTTACATCTGTCAGAATGGCTAAAATCAAAAACACAGGAGACAATAAGTATTAGTGGGGATGTAGAGACTGAAGAACCCTCTTGCTTGGCTGGTGGGAATGCAAATTGGTGCAGCCACTCTGGGAGACAGTATGGAGGCTCCTCAAATAATTAAAAATAGAACAACTACCCTATGAGCTAGGAATTACGCTATTAGGTGTTTACCCAAAAAATACAAGAACACTAATTCAAAGGGATACATTTACCCCTATGTTTATAGCAGCATTATTTACAATAGTCAAATTATGGAAGCAGCCCAAGTGTCCACCAATTGATGAATGGATAGGAGGTAGCATATACATGTACAGTGGAATATTATTCAGCCATAAAAAAAGAATGAAATCTTGCCGTTTGCAACAACACGGATAGAGCCAGAAAATATAATGCTTCGCAAAATAAGTCAGAGAAGGACAAATACCATATGATCCCACTCATGTGGAACTTAAGAAACAAAACAAAGGTGGAAAAAAAGACAAGCCAAGAAACACTCTTCTTTTTTTTTTTTTTTTTTTAATGTTTGTTTATTTTTGAGAGAAAGAGAAAGAGCATGAGCTCTGAGAGGGGCAGAGAGAGAGGGAGACACAGAATCTGAAGCAGGCTCCAGGCTCCAAGCTATCAGCACAGAGCCCGACGTGGGGCTCAAACTCACAAACCACGAGATCATGAGCTGGAATCAGATGCTCAACTGACTGAGCCACCCAGGCACCCCAAACAGACTCCTAACTGTAGAAAAAAACTGAGAGGGATGGGGGAAATACAGAAGGGTGATTAAAGAGTACACGTATCATGATCAAAAAAATAAATAAAGTGAATAAAAACAAAAAAAATACAGTGCACCCTTGAACAACACAGATTTGGACTGTGCCAATCCACTTACATGCAGATTTTTTTTTTATAGCATAGTTCTGTGAATGTATTTTCTCTTCCTTATGATTTTCTTAATAACATCTTTTCTGTAGCTTATTTTATTAAAAGAATACAGTATATAATACATATAACATACAAAAGGTATGTTAATCAGCTGTTTATATTGCCATTAAGGTTTCTGGTTAACAGTAGGCTATTAGTAATTAAGTTTAGGGGGAATCAACTTATAAAAAGTGCAGAGTTGACTGCACAGGGTTGGTGTCCCTAACCGCTGCATTGTTCAAGGGTCAACTGTAGTCCAGATGTTTCCACTTGCATGCACCAGTGTATTTCAGATAAGAATTTACAGTGTTTCCTGATTTACTCATTTTGGGCATGATCTATTGATCTGTTGATAAATCTAGCCATGAGTAGCTTTCTATCTTCCTTTGTACATAAGAACTTAGCTTAACCCATACCATTCCCACATCTTTTCGTGTACCTTTCCCCATAATTTTCAGAATACGTATGAATCAGATACTGGTAATCAATGGAATCAATTTACCTTTTGACTGTGGAAGTATTCACTCCTATACCAAGTGGTCTGTTGCTTCCTTCTTTTCTTATAAGAGTTTTGTCGTGGTGTAAATAATTTGCCTTGTTTTTCATCTGCCTGGGTTTTTTTTAATGTTTATCTGTTCATATTTTCACCATCTCTGCAACATGCTTATGGCTAACATTTTCCGTGTGCTCAAAGACGTAAATTATTTATTTATTTATTCCATGGGGAGGCCCTTCTTAGACCTTTTGTTCTTCTCGCCATCTTCCTGAGACTTCGTCTTCACCCATCATTTCTTGCATCCTACATGTGGCATTGCTCACTCTCTTCCTTTGTGAATCATTATCTTCAATATTTACTACAAAGAAGAGCACGGAGCATACATTTTTTGACCTTTGTTTCTAATGGTGAACGCTTTACCCAACAGAAGCAGAATATTACCTTCTTCTCAAATGTACATGGAACATTCTCCAGGATAAGACCACATGCTAGGTGATAAACCTCAGTAGCTTTCTTAAAAGGATGAAAATAATACAGAGAATGTTCTCTCACCACAATGGAATGAAACTAGAAATTAGTAACACAGAAGTGTGGAGGGCTCACAAATATGTGGAAATTAGGTAACTTCTAAATCGCCAGTGGATCAAAGAAGAACTCAAAAGGGAAATTAGAAAAATACAGTGAGGTGAATGCAAATGGAGACATGATCTACCAGAACTTACAGGATGCAGCCATAGCAGTGCTTAGAGGGAAATTTATAAGTGTTAATGCCTATTATAAAAAAGAAGAAAGGTCTTAAATTAGAAAGCTTAACTGCCACCTATGACATGGGAAAAAGAACAAACTAACCCTAAAGTAAACAGGAAGACATAAGATTAAAGCACAAATTAACAAAATACAAAAACGATAATCAGTGACACTAAAAGCTGGTTTTTTGAAAGATCAACAAAATTGGCAAACTTTTAACTCGATTGACAAAGAAGAAAAGAGACTTACATTACTAGAATTAAAAATGAAAAACAAGTAAAGAGATTGACTTAGTAATCAAAAAAGAACCCACAGAGAGAGGCCCAGGCTCAAATGGCTTCACTGGTGAATTCCAGCAAACATTAATACCAGTTCTTTAGAAACTCTTTCAAAAAACAGAAGAAAGAACACTTTCCAGCTCATTCTATGAGGGCAGTTTTACCTTGATACCAAAACCAGACAAAGATGCCCCCCCTCCCCCCCCCCCACACACAAAAGCCTACAGGCCAGTATCTCTTACAAATATGGATGCATTTAATCCTTGACAAAATATTAACAAACTAAATCGTGCAACATAGAATTATACACCACGCACAAGTAAATGGGATTTATCCCAGGAATGCTGGGTTAAATTAACATCTGAAAGTATGTTAATGTAATACCCCCTGCCAGTCACAAGACAAGACATGTGATCATATCAATAGAAAAGGCATCTGGTGGTGTCCCTGGGTGGCTCAGGTGGTGGCGCATGGGATTCTCCATCTCATGGTTGTAAGTTTGAGCCTCATGTTGGGTGTAGAGATGACTTAAAAATAAATCTGGGAAAAAAAAGAAAAAGACAACTGGCAAAACCTTAACATCCTTTCATGATTTAACCCCCCCCAAAAAACAAAACCAAAAAAAAACTGGTAATGGAAGAGAACTTTCTCAACCCAAGAGAGGGTACCTGCAAATATCCACAGCTAAAATCATACTTAATGGTAAAAGACCGGATGCTTCCTCCTTGAAATTAGGAGGAAGACAGGATGTCTGCTCTTAGCATTTCTATTCACATATACTCTACAATTCAGTATATACTATGCATTACACTCTACTCTGGTCTAAGTGTGCAGTACCCTTATGTCTAAAAATATGTACAACTGAGCAATTTCTATTTCTATTCAACTGGGGGTTCTAGCTATGACAGGAAAAAATAAGAAATGAAAGGCATCCTTGGCAAGTGGCATATTGGATAAAGGGTTAGTGTCCCAAAATCTATGAAGAACTTACCAAACTCAACACCCCCCCAAAAATTATCCAGTCAAGAAATGGGCAGAAGATACGAATAAACACTTTTCCAAAGAAGACATCCAGATGGCTAACAGACACATGAAAAATACTCAACATCACTCATCATCAGGGAAATATAAATCAAAATCACAATGAGGTACCACCTCACACCTGTCACAATGGCTGAAATTAACAACTCAGGAAACAACAGATGTTGGCAAGGATGTGGAGAAAGGGGAACCCTCTAGGCTCTGTTGGTGGGAATGCTAACTGGTGCAGCCACTCTGAAAAACAGTATGGAGGTTCCTCAGGAAATTAAAAATAGAACTACCCTGTGACCCAGCAATTGCATTACCAGGAACTTATCTAAAGGATACAAAAATGCTGATTTGGAGCACCTGGGTGTCTCAGTTGGTTAAGTGTCTGACTTCAGCTCAGGTCATGATCTGGTTCATGGGTTTGAGCCCCACATCAGGCTCTGTGTGACAGCTCAGAGGCTGGAGCCTGCTTCAGATTTGGTCTCCCTGTCTCTCTGCCCCTCCCCCGCTCACACTCTGTCTCAAAAACAAACACTAAAAAAGTACTGATTGAAAGGGGCACCCCCAATGTTTATACCAGCACTATCAATAATAACCAAATCAGGGAAACAGCCCAAATGTCCATTGACTGTTGAATGGATACACACAAGCATACACATACATAAACACAATGGAGTATTACTCAGCAGTGAAAAAGAATGAAGTCTTGCCATTTGCAACAATGTGGATAAACGTTGTTGCAAATGGCAACTAGAGGGTATTACCCTACATGAAATCAGAAAGCCAGATTTATGATTTCACTCATATGTGGAATTTGAGAAACTCAACAGATGAACATAGGGGAAAGGAGGGAAAAATAAGATAAAAACAGAGAAGGAGGCAAACCATAAAAGACTCTTAAATACAGAGACCAAACAGGGTTGCTGGAGGGGAGATGGGGGAGGAGGATGGGCTAAAGATCCCATCTCATGGATGGTGGGCATTAAGGAGGGCATTCTTTGGGATGAGCACTGGGTTCTACTCCTGAA